CATCTTTGTTTACATCAGTGATGGGGCTATCCCTTCCCGCCTTCACGCCTCATACTCCCCCTCACCCTCAGGTCCTTGCACACCTCCAGGAAGACTTGAGAACAGGCATGGGCCCCTATTCTTCTATCTCAGAGCAGCCCTTCTCTCCTTATCTCACAAACCCTCCAGGGAGGGCAGGGGAGGGCAGCAAAGGCGTTCTTCTGGCAATTCTTCACTGAGGTAGACTGGCTGTCATGGAAGAATTCTGCCCCTGCCCCCATGGAAGAATTCTGCCCCTGCCCCAGGGAGATCCCATCAGAGCAATGGTCCTCTGGGGAGACAAAGGAAAATGCCCTCTTCATCTTAGCCAGTGGATGTAACGTGGGCCTCATCTTCAAGCCCACCTTAATTTCCCAGGGAGAAGACTCACTGGCTCCCTGAGTTTGTTCATGCACTTAGCAAATTTCCCAGTTTCCTGCACTGTCTTGGGCCCTGAGCTGGGGTAGACTTGGATGTGAATTGCCCTCAGTAGGAAGCCCTGTGTGATCAGGCAGATGACTTCTGTACACATGTTTGATAAACCTGGTGATAGAGGTGTCCAGGAGGGTGGGGAACTATTAAAGAACATATTGGTGTTGGATAAGTAGGCAATCCAGCAGGATGGAAGGAATGTCCTGAAATGAGGGAAGGAATGTGTGAAGATTCTCAAGTCAGGCAGAGGGGAGCCTGTGTCTTAATTTGACTAAAACTCCATGATGCCTGAACCATTTGGGCCTCAGGCTGCCCTTGGTTAGGTGCATTTGTATCTTATCTCTCTTACTAGACTATGTACTTCTTGTGGGCAGAGGCAGGGTTTTACTAAGCTCTGTCACCTTCATAGTACCGCACATTTAGGCCCTGGGGAAGGGGAATCTGATTTACTGAGTGACTGCTCCCGTCTCAAAACCAGTGCTGGTCACGTTACACCCATTATCTCATTAATCTCACAAGAAGGCCTGCCAGGGAGTTATCCAGCTTGTTCCTGTTTTACACGTGAGGCAGGTGAGGCTCAGTACACTTGGGTCACTTGCCTCTGGTCATTTAGCACTAGTACTTGGCAGAACTGGGCTTAGAGCCCAGCTGTTTTCCTTTTTTTTTTTCCCCAACCTACAAAGGCCATGCTGACTCCAGGAAGTTAGGTACACTGAATTCTAGACTTGAATTGGTCACACATTGACTTTCTGTGTGAACTTGGTCAAGCCACAAGCTCTCCCTGAGCCTCAGTTTCCTCATGTGAAGAGTGAAGGTGGGGGTATGGAATCGATAGTGCTTCGGGCCACTTATGGGACTTAAAATGTTTGTTGACTTGTCTGAGTAGCCATCCAAGCCCTAGACAAAGTCATCTGCATGAGAGGCCTGTGGTTGTGTCCCTCTCACCTGTACTCTTGTTCAAAACTGTCCCTGTTTGCCTTTTTCTCCATGATTCCATTCCAGCCCACAAGGCCAAGAACTCTCCAGGCCCTGGGGTAGGAAAGGAAGTTTTCCTGGCCCCGAGCCCTTCACCCCAAGGATGTTCTGTGACTTAGAACTCTTCTCTGGTGCCAGTTCTAATCCCAGCCTCTCCTTTCTTCTGCCTCCACAGCTGACCAGGTGTATGGAGACCAGGACATGCATGAGGTTGTACGAAAGCACTGCATGGACTATCTGGTGAGACTTTGTAGAGACCTTGGGGTAGGGGCAGAGTGGGAGGATCCCCTCCTCACACTGACCTCGACCCTCTGGTCTGTTGTGCAGATGAAGAATGCGGACTACTTCTCCAACTATGTCACAGAGGACTTCACCACCTACATCAACCGGAAACGGAAAAACAACTGCCATGGCAACCACATTGAGATGCAGGCCATGGCGGAGATGTACAACCGGCCTGTGGAGGTGTATCAGTATAGCACAGGTACTTCTGTGGTGGGTAGGTGAGCGACCGACGGCACCTGGTCTGAGCCTGCCCCGCCCCGCCCACTGTGGATGCTACTTCCTTCTCTTTTCTGCAGAACCCATCAACACATTCCATGGGATCCATCAAAATGAGGACGAACCCATCCGTGTCAGCTACCATCGGAATATCCACTACAATTCAGTGGTGAATCCTAACAAGGCCACCATTGGTGTGGGGCTGGGCCTGCCATCATTCAAACCGGGGGTAAGCATGTCACCATGCCCAAGATGGCTGTTGGATTTAGAGGCCAGAAACCTTTGTTTGGGTCTCAGTTTTATCCTAGCCCACAAAAATGTCCTGTCCCCTCTCTGAGTTGCCTCTGAGGTCTTACCTCTGTGAAATCAGGGAGTCCCCCAAGGTGATCTCTCAGGGCTCATTCTGTGGTCTCAGTTTATCTGTCTGAGCTGGCTCACCCATCTTTGTTCCTATGGAGGGTTGGCATTTTGGGATATGGAGTCATATTGGGAACCATAAGCCAGGGCTGGGGCTGGGTGTCTTGGTCCCCACATGGATCCTCCTCTGAAACTCAGCAGTTATAGACATCTGCGGTTACAGAGACTTAGAGTTCAGGCCTGGTCCCAACACTTAACTGGCTGTGGGACCTAGGGCAGGATTCACAAGTAATTTGGGCTGGCAGCTTGGCTGATTCAGACAACGCCTAGCACTGGGCCTGGTGCCTAGTAGGTGCTCAGATGGTGGCAGTACACTTTCCCAGCACACACTGGCAGATTCTCATTCTCTTTCATAAATATTCGCCTGCTGGGGATTTTGATATCTTCTATTCAGGTTTCACTTCCTACAAACAGAAAGTGCTCCTGCCTCATTTTAGGAAACACACACCCTAACACCAACACACCCTCTAACATTAGGGGTTTTTTTGTTTTGGTTTTTAAATAAACTTTTAATTTTAGAACACTTTTAGATTTTAGCAGAATTATTACGCTTAGAGAATTCCCATATACCTAACTATGATTAACATCTTATTAGCATAGTACATGTGTCACAGTTAATGAGCCAATATTGATATATTAACTAAAGACCATACTTTATACAAAATACCTCAGTTTTCCCCTAATGATCTTATCTGTTCTAGGATCCCATCCAGGATCATATTACATTTAGTTGTTGTCATGTCTCCTTTGGCTCCTCTTGGCTGTGACAGTTTCTCTTGATTTTCTTGTGTTTTTTTCCGATCTGTTTACAGACTCTATCCTTGCACCTTTTCTAGAATGTCATCTAATTGGAATCATACTGTATATAGTTTTTTCAGTGTCTTGTTTCACATAACACTATATTTAAGATTTTTTGTTTGATCGCTTTTTTTCCTTTAAAAAAAAATGTGAATGCCTTAAGTTTACAGAAAAACTAAGAAAGATAGTTCAGAGTTCCCCGCATCCATCCTCCGTCCTGTCCCGCACACAGTTTTGTTACTAACCTATCATGACTGTGATTCATTTGTTACAATATATGAACCAATATTGGCACATTATTAACTAAAGTCATCATGTCTCTTTAGGCTCCTTTGTCTGTGACGATTTCTCACACTTTCATGTTTTTGATGGCCTTGACCGTTTTGAGGAGTACTGGTCAGGTATACTGTAGGATGTTTCTCTTTTGGAATTTGCTGTTTTTCTCATGACTAGACTGGGGTTACGGGTTGTAGGAAGGAAGATCACAATAGTAAAGTGCCATTCTCATCACATCATATCAACAGTATGTACTGTGAACATGATTTGTGATTTGTTGTTGCCTTTGATCACCTGGCAGAAGTAGTGTTTGTTAAGTTTTCTCCACTAATATCACTCCTCCACCTCCTTCACTCCCTTTTCCACATTGTACTGTTTGGGAGCAAGTCATTGTATGCAAACCACACTTAAGTTGGTGTTGCCCTGGCCAGCCAGCTCAGTTGGTTATCTGCCTGATATGCCAAGGTTGCACGTTCGATCCCCGTTCAGGGCACATACAGGAGTCAACCAATGAATGCATAAATAAGTGGAGCAACAAATCGATGTTTCTCTCTCCCTCTCTCTCTAAAATCAATAAATTAAAAATATTTTTTAAAGAAAAAAAAAAGAAGTGGCTGTTATGCTCCATCTCCTTGAGGGCAGTATATTCACATAAATTATTTGGAATTCTTGCAAGGGAGATTTCTCTCTTGTCCTCCATTTATTCAACCCTTTGTTTATATCAGTATTGGCTCAGATATTTATTTTATACTTTGGGTTATAATCCAATGATATTTTTATTTTGATGCTCAAATTGTTTCAGTTTTGGCTATCGGAAGCTCTCTTAGTGTCTCTCTGACACACTCCCATCATTGTGGTGGTGGTGGTGGTGGTGTGTGTGTATGTTTTGTGTGTTTTTTGTCCTTTTTGTTGTTGTTTTTTGGGGTTTTTTTAGCACTTCCTAACTTTCTGGTACTAAAAGTGTTCTAGGCTCAGCTTGTATGTTTCCTTCCCTGGTCTTAGAACCAGCCATTTCTCCTTGGTTCCAATTATTAGAATGTTATTAGAAGCCACGATCTGGGTGCTGAGTGTGCTCCTTGGTACTGGGGTGTCCTTCCTTCTAGGCCCTTTCAGCTGGCTGAGTAAGGAGATATATGTGTATACTAACCTGTGTGTATACACATATCCAGAAATATTTCTATGTATAACTACTCATATCTGTATGAAGCTACCAGCTGATAGGTACTGCTTTGTTTTAATTTTCAATTTTCTAGTGACAAATGGTATTGAGCATCTTTGCATGTGCATATAAAATTGTGTGTTAAGATTTTTTTTGGCCATTTTTAAATTGTCTTATTCTAATAGAGAGTTTTAGATACTTTTTGGACTATTATCCATAGGTAAAAATTATATTTTATATCATTACTTTGTGCGCACACACATTGGTGTGCAATATATGTCCATTAAAATAATGTTAGAATTTTGCTGAACAGTACTCACATTTAATTTAATCCCTGGGATATGCTCTGATATTTTTTATTATTTTGGTTTTTAAAATGCAGTTGTATCTCACAGTCTAACAAAGAGCACTCATACAGTGCCCCACAACTCATAGCACCTCACATCATGCTAATACTACTCGTCCCCTTAAATACCTGACTACTCCCTCCACCCTGTGCACATACAGCTAACTTCTCAGGTGATCTTTTCTTCTTGTGCCATCTGAGCATAGATGAGGAAGGCCTCAACATTGTGAAACTGTCATCACTGGGTAAGGCTTCTTTAAACTCCAGCCTAGGCTGGAGGGCACCTGGTTGCCCCAGACTTAGTACTTCACTTGAGTTGTCTTTGGGTTGGGAACAGGGCTTCTGAGTGTAGGAGTTTGGAACTACTAATCCCACCACCCAAGCCTGCTTTTCCCCAGTCCCTGATGAATAGGCAGCCTGCCCAGGGGGGTGCTTAGCAAGAGTACTTGCCTTCCTGTCTCCTCTTTCTGGGCCTGTGGGCCTACCTCTCTGAGCCAGATCCAGCTGCTGGCCAGAGCTCAGAGTGTTACCCCATTTCCTTGTTCCTCCCACCTTTGCAGTTTGCAGAGCAGTCCCTTATGAAGAGTGCCATAAAGACATCAGAGGAGTCATGGATCGAACAGCAGATGCTGGAAGACAAGAAGCGAGCCACAGACTGGGAGGCCACAAATGAGGCTATTGAAGAGCAGGTGGCTCGAGAATCCTACCTGCAATGGTTGCGAGATCAGGAAAAACAGGCCCGCCAGGTCCGCAGCTCCAGCCAGGTAGGTCCTAGGCTCTGTCACTGGCCTGGCCAAGAACCCATTTTTTTCCCCAGCTCTGCCCCAAACAGGCAGAAAAATTAAGCAGTTTTGACATCTGGGAGAGAAGGAAGCTCCCAACCCTATCTGTACCTCATCTTGGCCTTAGTCTTGGCATTGTGCCTTAGAACTCTCAACACCTGTGCAGAACAAGCTCTTAAGGAATGAGAGAGAGAGAGCGAGAGCGCAGTCACTGGTGGTGACATGTAGGATGGATGGATAGTTTCAGAGGGACAAGCTTTTGTTGAATATTCTTGTGTGCCAGGCTCTGTGCTGAGAATATGAAATCAGGTCTAGCCTGCTCCGCCCTCAGTGGTCCCGTCTATTGAGGGAGACAGAGGCATCAGTGGGGCCCTTGACCGTGGGTGGGAGACCAGTGGAGATGGGGGCTCTAGTTACTATTCCCGCAGGAGGGTTGAAAATTTTAGGGCAGGGACAGGACAGGATATATAGACATTTGAGGAATCACAAAGAGTTTAGCGTGATTGTAGATGTTGGCAAGTGCTGATTCAGTTGTTCAGCAAATATTTATTGTAGGTCTATGCCCGTACTGTTCTATGTGTACAGAGGTACATTGGTGAGCCAGGCAGGCCCAGATCCCTGTCCTTGTGATGCTTGCATTTTTGCAAGAGTGGAACAAAATAAACAGTAAACATAGTGAGTACATTGGTTTAGAGGTGGTATGGATGGGAAAAAAAAACATAGAGAAGAGTAAAGGGAATAAGTGGGGCTGGGAGTTCACAGTATTAAATAGTGTGGGCATAGTGGGTCTCAGAACAGGTGAGATTTGAGCAAAAACTAGCCATAGGTGAGGGAGGTAGCTAAGTGTATGTGCCGGAACAGAGAGAGGACCAGCTAGAGCAAAGACCCTGAGGTAGCACACCCCTGCTGGGATTCAGGAGCGGCCTGAGGCCAGTGTGGTGGAACAGAAGTCAGAGAGGCAGTGGGGCCAGATTAGGAAGGGACCTGTGGGCCGTGATGAGGACTTTGGCTTTTATTCTGAGTGAAGCAGATTCACTGCAGGGTTGTGAGCAAAGGAGGAATAGGATCTGACTTAGGGTTTAACAGGTTGCAGAACGCAGTCTGGGTGGCAAGGGTAGAACAGGGGACCAGTGAGGAGGAAGCTGCTACAGTAGTTCAGGTTGCCACTGATGGCACAGGCAAGGGGGAGGGAGAGAGTTGGGAGGCACTCTGGATCTATTTTGAAGGTGGAGGTTTCCTATCAGTTGGCTGTGAGGGTGTGAGGAGGGTTAAGGAGCTTACCTTCATCCTTTGGTCCATGGTGTGACTGGGAGTGGTGGTGACCTATGTAGAAGCTGTGTCACAGCCAGGATTGCCGGGGATGGGGCAGAGGAACGTTGAGGCTGTTGTAGGTTCTTACCTCTTACTCCTTCCCCACAGCAGCCCCGGAAAGCCAGTGCCACGTGCACTTCCGCCACAGCAGCCGCCTCCAGTGGCCTGGAGGAGTGGACTAGCCGGTCCCCGCGGCAGCGGTCACCCGAGCACCCTGAACTGCATGCCGAGCTGGGCATGAAGCCCCCTTCCCCAGGCACTGTCTTAGCTCTTGCCAAACCTCCTTCACCCTGTGCACCAGGTCAGTGACTTGCTGACAGGGAGCATGCAGGGCTTAGGAGGTGCCGCCTGGGTCCTGGGCCCTGTCTCTGACTGTCCATCTGCCCCAGGTACAAGCAGCCAGTTCTCAACAGGGGCCGACCCAGCGACTTCCCCCCTCGTGTCCCTCTACCCTGCTCTGGAGTGCCGGGCCCTCATTCAGCAGATGTCCCCCTCTGCCTTTGGTAAGCCTCCTCTGTCTAGGAACCAGGGGCCAGCCGGGAGCTGGGGAGAGATGGAAGAAGCAGTATGTCTCTGTGGGGTGGCTCTGGAGCCTCTGGCCATCTCCCCAAAAAAAGGGAATCCTTTAGGCCCACGGGATCTGTCCCAGAGGGGTTCTAAATGGGTTTCATAGGCCCAGAGGAGCCTTCTAATAGGAGTTAGAGGGCCCTGGATGGGATCTTTGCAGAGCCAGGGGTCAGTGAATGGCGAAGAAAAGACAGGCTCCGTCATTCTTTTTCCCTTCTTCTTGCCCAACAGGTCTGAACGACTGGGATGATGATGAGATCCTGGCTTCGGTGCTGGCAGTATCCCAACAAGAATACCTAGACAGTATGAAGAAAAACAAAGTGCACAGAGATCCGCCCCCAGACAAGAGTTGATGGAGACCCAGAGACTGGAGACCGTCTCCCAACCCCACCACTCCTGCCCTCCGGTGCCGCCTCACCTTTGGCTTTCTTCCTTCTTGCCGTCTTCCTCCTTCCCTTTCTTTCCTTCTTTTCCTCCTCCCCGCCTCCCTCTTGCCGGTCCATCCCTGCACCCCCTCTCATCGCTGCCACCACCACCATCATCTGTCTCTTCCCCAGCTGACGTGCCCTGTTGCCCCCTGCACAGCACCATCCCTGCAATCCACAGGGGACTCGGGCAAGGGTGCCGAAGGTAGGCGAGAGGCACAGAGACAAAGCAACTGGCAGCCAGGCAGCCCCTGAGGAGAGACATTCAGACAAAAGAAAACCTCCCTGACCCCCATTCCTCCCAAGTTCAGAAAACCTTGTTACCCCACCTCTACAACTATGTCAGGGAAGTGGGAGGAAGAAGTGGGGGATTCCCCTTCCCAGAACCCTAAGAATGTCTGAGCCTTCAATGTTGAATTTTTTTCTTTATTAAAATGTACTTTTATCTTATAAAATTAACCAATCAAAAACGACATAGATAACAGCTTTGACTCTATGAAGGTGGCATCTCTCTGGTTTGGGGGCAGGCAGGCAGGGGGGCCCAGAGGGGGCACAAAGACGTGCTGCTGTCTCTGGCCTCCAGCTCTGTGGAGATGGGCAGTGTCTAGAGTATGAGCCAGGGCGGAGTAGGGGGCCAAGGGTAGCAGGTGTCCTGTGGGCTTCGGACAATGAAACTCTGACCTCACTGCATTCCTATTGCTTCCATCACCACCAGTATCTGTAATCTTGGGGTGGGGGCACCTTTGAGGATTATAGCCGCCACTCAGGATTCGAGTGTGGGGAGTGGGAGCAGCCTTGGCAGATGGGGCACTTGTGCCCTGCAGGTGTTGACAAGATCCGCCATCTGTAATGTCCTTGGCACAATAAAACCAAATGTCAGTTTCCCTGGAGCGCCTCTATTCTGTGTGGGGCAGAGTGTGTGTGTGTGTGGTGGCGGGGGGTGGTCTCTGGACAGAGACAGCGAGGGTACAGGCTTTGGCTTGACCTCTGAGGGCTGCATGCTCTCCAGGAGGATCTCTGTGGGGCCGAGTTTGTTCATATTTGACTCACTGCTTACTAATCCACCTCTGGACCTGTTACCACCAAGAAAGCTCCATCCTTGCGGGTGACTCCTGCCTCAGCACTGGCACAGGATGTAGCCTGCCCACCTTATGTCCTGGGGTTTGATGGGAGCAGAGGACTGAGCTGAGGGCAGGGACTGAACTTCCAACTTCTCTGCCTGCCTCTTTCGCCATAAATGTTTGCTCTTCTGATCGTTTGATGAGGAAACACTTTGGGAAGTACAGTAGATGCTTCACATGAGTTCAGTGGAAGGGACCAGATGGACCTCCTCCACTGGGTTTTAGAAGCTGAGGAATGGCTAACCCCTTTTTTATTTATCATGTCCCCCAGTTCTCTGACAGTTCTGTGTCCCGACCTTCCTAGGGGTAAAGCCAAGGCAGAGAAGGATGGCTGGCCCTAGGTCAGTGGTTCCCAAACTTATTTGGCCTACCGCCCCCTTTCCAGAAAAAATATTACTCAGCCCCTGGAAATTAATTTTTTTTAAATTTTAATAGCAGTTACTCATCGCCCCCAAATGCACCTGTGGCCATCACCGCCCCCCTGGATCGCTGCAGCGCCCACCGGGGGGCGGTAGCGCCCACTTTGGGAATCACTGCCCTAGGTTTTGTCAAGTGTCTTTTTTGCTGTGCCTCAATAATGGGGCCCCTGTGGAAGGATGCGTGCCCAACTCTACAGGCGAGGGTGTGGCTGGTTGAGTGGCTGTCGGAGGGATGTCTGAAATCATTGGTCAAGCATGTGTATGCTGGAGAGTTGGTTTCAAACCTTCCTCAGCTTTTTCTTGCCATTTGGCCTTGGTCATATCACAGGCTCTGAGTTTCAAGTGGCCCATTTGTACAACAGGGGTGATTAATGTCTACTATCTCACACTCTGGTTGTGAGCATTGAGAGAGAATGCATATGGTCAACATAATGAATGATGGCACAGTGCCTAGCACATTCCAAAAGCTCAAATGTTAGTAGATATTTATTCTACTGTTGAAATGTAAGCACCGTTTGCCCCTGCCTACTTCTTTTTGCCTCCAGTTATCTTGGGCCTATGTGTAGAATTTGCCCTTCCCCTGTCCCGAGCCCTAGGCCTTGTCTTTCAAGATGTGTAGAGGGTCTCCTTCTGAGAAGCCCTGTGTGACCTCATCCACATTCTCCCATCTATCTACAAATACGTCTTTTTTAAATATGTTTTTTATTGATTTCACAGAGAGGAAGGGAGAGGGAGATAGAAACATCAATGATGAGAGAGACTCATTGATGGGCTGCCTCCTGCATGCCCCCTACTGGGGATCAAGCCTGCAACCTGGGCATGTGCCCTGACCAGGAATTAAACCATGACTTCCTGGTTCATGGGTCAACACTCACCCACTGAGCCACACTGGCCGGGCCAAATATGTCTTTACTCCTTCCCCAATAACTGTACTATCAACTTCCTGGGTAAGGGCTATGATGCCTGACTTATCTTTCTCTAATATCTGCACTCCCACCAGGGCCTGATAGGTTTACAGTAGACCCCTAATAAATGTCAGGTGAATAAAGGAGAGTAACATGTCTATTTGCTTTTTGGGTGTTGTCTGTGTATATGTTACTGTAGTGAGTTCAAGTCTTTATGCGCATCTCACAGAGTGTTTATAGTTGTGTGTGTGATGAGGGCTTGCTTCCAGGTGTGCCAGATGATGACAGTTTGTGTCTGTTTCTGAGACTGAGTGCATGTTTGTGTGTTTCTGTCTGTGATAGCGCATCTGTGGTTCTTTCTGATGGGGTGGATGTCCATTTGTGTTCCTGTGATGGATTCTGGGCAGCTATTTCTGAACAATGTCAGTGACAGTGCTGTATGCCTGCGGGTACATGCATGTCTATGACTGGATCTATCCGTCACAGGTATCACATATATATGTTTGCCTTTGCAGCAGTGCATGTGTGTCTCAAGCATTTGTGTGGCTTCCTGGGACAGCACAAGTTTTTATGTGACAGTGCATATTTGACGGTGCCAGTGCCTTTGTGACAAGTTCTGGTGGTGTGTCTGACAGACATTTCTGTGTCATTGTCACATGGTAATGTAGGTCTACGTGAATCTCTCTGGAGTGCCTGTCTTTCTGTGACTATATCTGTGTCATTCTGGGATATGACTCTCTGGCAGCATGCCTGCCTGACAGTGGATGGAGCTCTTTGTGACAGTGCACGTCTGCATGTGTGTCTAGGACAAGTTTACATGAATGTGATGATACGTATTTGTGTATATCTCATTTGGTACTTCATGTGTGTCTCTTTGGAGTGCATGTCTGTCTTCCTGCAGCATGAGGCCCGACTCTGTTTTTCTCAAATTTGTGACTAAGGGTTTTTACCACCTCTCAGCCCCTGTCTCTCACCTGGAGCACACCCCCAAGCCACCACCACTCTGGCTTGCTCCT